TCAAATTTACAGTCTGACTAATTACTAACCAGTTGTTCGAATCACGACAAACTTCCTGTAAGAATGAAATTTCTAAAATTGATTAGACAGTTGTGGTGTATACTACTCATGTTTGTCGACATAAGTAGTATAGGAAACTAACCAGAAATGGAATGTCTGGCAGAAGAAGATTGAGAAGATCGAATGGAAGAGAACAAGAACAGTGAGTAATTATTATGACCATGAAAGAACGGTGAAGTTAAATATAATTAATGGAGGATTTGCAAATGAAGTATTGAATGTATGGTCTTCACATTTGATGAAAGAACTCTGTTATTTTGTATTATGATACAATGGGTTGTCCCCACCAATGTTCTCGTTCTTTACACACTGAGTAGTAACTATTATCATCTTTATCTAGAACTTTAGCAGTGTTGATCGAATTCCTTGATGTTAAATGATTAAAAGTAGTCGATCGAAAACTCTTTCTTGACCTAGGTTTTATACTAGTCCGTTTATTATCAAAAATGTGCCTTAATGATGACTTCATATTCATACATCTTATTGTCGACGATGTATACCTGTTTACTTGAAACAAATTAAACGCTTCAGTAAGAAAAGAGTACATATTGACTAATTTTAATAATAGGTAATTTATTTGGTTCATCCTCAACAAACACAAAGGAAAAAGCAAGATTCTCAAATACAACACGGAGAACGCCACCCCAATCACACTTGACACCGAAACTTTGGAAGAGGTGGAAACATTCACGTACCTGGAAAAGATCATTGATTAACAAGGAAGATCGGATGCAGATGTAAATGCGAGGATTGGCAAAACAAAGACAGCATTTCTACAAATGAAGAACATATGGGACTCGAAACAACTGTCAACTAATTTCAAAGTGACAATCTTCAATACGAATGTCGAGACAGTTAGTTCTAATGTACGGAGCTGAAACATGGAGAACTACTATACCCATCGTCAAGAAGGTAGAAGTATTTATAAACAGTTATTTACGCAAAATACTCAACATTCACTGGCGGGATACTATCAGCAACAGCGTCTTATGGGAGAGGATAAACCAGCTTCCAGCTGAAGAGGAAATTAAGAAAAGATGTTGGAAGTGGATAGGACATACATTAAGGAAATCACTGAAATGCATTACAAGGCAATCCCTGACTTGGAATGGTGAAGAGAAGCGGAAGAGAGGAAGGCCAACGAACACATTACGCCGGGAGATTGGAGGAGATATGAAAAGGATGAATGTTAAGCGGAAAGAACTGGAAAGGATTAGGTAGGACATGGTTGGATGGAGAAAGCTGTTGTGTAGCCTATTCTCCTTTACGAGGGATAATAGGCGTAAGTAAGTAAGTAAGTATTTGGTTCATATAAAATTGCTAAGGGAATGAATAGAACATCAAATACGGCGAAAATCGACAATGAGATAACTTAAATTCTTACTAATAATGATATAAAACATCATCAATGTGGGATAATTTTTTAGGATTTAAAACCCCAAGGTACTGGATTTCAGTCTCAATGTTAACGTCAACAATGGGATATGAGGGATAAATCCATTAGAAGAGTCTCACGTAGTATGACATACGTCATGCTGTCTACTATTAGTTACAGCCTATTTATCCTCTTTTTGAGATGGTAGAGAAGATTTGTAACTCAGGTGAATGATTTTGATGGAGTTTGCACGACCAAACCATCCAGCTCAGAGAAAAAACTCCATCAAAACTATTTACTCTCAAATACCGGAGATAATATGTGTGGAACTTTAAATAACGAAAATTGAATACGTCGATCAACTAACTCAAAGTTCCCATTCAGAGTTTTTTTTTAAGAAAACAAACAAAATCAAACTCAGTGAGTTTAGAGACAGTAATATAACAAACAATTTCTGAGTCATGATTGTGTGTTGAATATAGGTAGTATTACTCACTTACGCCTGTTACCTCTTGTAGAGAAGAATAGGCCTCCCACCAGCATTTTCCAAACAACTCTGTCCTGGACTATCCTTCCCAGTTGTTCCTAGTTGTTGTTCATCCCTTTGATGTCTGTATCAAAATCCTGGCACAGTGTGTACTTTAGTCTTTCTTTTTTCCCTTTTTCTTCTGGATTCCAAGTTGATGCTTGCCTCCTGATGCAGTTTGATGATTTCCGTAATATATTTCTCATCCACCTCCAACGTTTTTTGCGATTTCCGGAATAAACATCGATTTTAAAATTCACATACATCTAAATCATTTTGTTCATCTTCAACCTTATCAAATGAATAACATCTTTAGGTTTACAACCTATGACAGAGTGGATTGGAGAATGCTGCTAGACCTATACTCCTCCACGAGGGATAATAGATGTAAACAAGTAATTAAGTCGTAAGTTCATACATTCATATTTACTGTTATCACTGATTAGTGACCAACGTCAAGTTTTTCTAGCCCTTTTTTGAGCAAATCGTATTCCATTAATGATGTTGAAGTGTGGTCTCAAGTCCATGTGACTGGATTTCACGTAGTGGTTGGAAGTAGTCGATAGGAAATCCTGTTTAACATGGATTTTGTTCTGTTCGGGACTTGTCAACAAAATATACATGTAACCATGAGGAAATTGATGCTTTGTGGAAAACTCAAATAGAAATATTTCGGTGGTATTGTTTCAGACTATGAAGTTGTATAACACGGTATATCTTGCTGACGAGTGCCGAATAGTACGAAATCTAGATCCATAGCTTCCTATTGATTACCAGACTTGTTTATTCACCTTAACATCTAAGTGCTTGAATATCTCTGTGTCTACAGTAGTTCATTCTATAGATTTAATTTTGTAAAATCAATTTTGGTAACTGCCAAGTTCAAAGTTTTTTTGTACAAAACACACCTTCCCTCATCCCGAATAGTCTAGAAATATTAGGTGGTTGAAGATGGCCAATAGGGAACGCTGAACCTAGGTTTAAGACTATTTGACACCTGTCTTCCAGATATACTTGTAATTTTCAGGGAACTGATTCTCCCTGGTTAATTCAAGCTCATCTTTGTTTGTAAATTTGAACGATACAGCCTTGAATCCATGAGAGATTAACAGTTGCCTCAAGATTACTGGTACGTCTAACATGAAACCTAGGTGGAGTATGATGGTTTCTTGTCAAATACCCGCAATCACCTCACGTACGATATCCAGTCACTCCAAAATGTGACCACATTTCAACTTCACTAATCGAATTCATTCCACAGTACTAAACGACTATACAAATATGATATTAGTCACTAGTCAGTAATCATATAATTGTAAGTCTTAAAATGTTAATAGCTTTTCATTGACGTTATGGAGAAGATTTGTAGCTTAGGTGGGTGATTTTAATGTAGGTTTGTTCTTTGAGCTGGATTGTTTAATCGTGAAACTTTCATCATCCTTCTGAACGACATCATCAGTAGCAGCACAAACTACATTGACGTTTCTATTCTTTAGGTAAATCATTGTTGTTTATTTATTTATTTTGATGATAACAGATACATTTATCATTCATTATTAAATAATTACGTTTCTATTCTTCTTTACCCGAAACAATAAATACGTTCATATCAACAATGTAATTACATTTTACCCCAATAGCAAAACCAATTTGATGATGTGTTTTTTTTCTCAAAGATTTCCTTTCATAAAAAAACAACACTGCATACATTTTCATCACACCTCAAGGCGAAATCTTTCTTCTGGGATGTTAATAATAATAATAATGATAAGTGAAAATAAGAAAATCTTCACAAATACTTTTAACAGCGAATTATGTCGTGTGATTTTATTATTTTCTTGTAAATATTGTATAATGGTGGTTGAAGAACTAACCCTTGATCTAGGTATCACATACTGTTTGAAACTTATTAGAAAGATAAACCTGTAATTTTGTGTTAATGGATGCTTCTTGATGGATTCGATCCCATGTCGTCTAGCCTCAAAGACTGAAAGTATACCACTGAACTATTCGCATAAGTATTACTTCATATAATATCATTGTTATATCCCCTGGTGAATGATGAATTGTAAATCTGAGGTATATTATGGACAAAGGTAATATGCCTAATTCCTATTGTATAGTTGTTAAATAACTGACCTAATTGTATTCGTGTTCCTCTTATCATAACCTTTATTTTGACCTTTGAACTATTGTTATTGATTACTTTCCCCCTATCCATAGCCACATTGGCCAATTACTGTACAAATGTTATTTTTCTATTTTTTGGTATAATTGGGTCTGTTTGGTTAGTATATATAATCCAGTATGCTTGTGAATAATGATTCATATTGCTGAGGCTGTTATTTGTGTTCTGCACTCAACTGGCTGGGCTAGGCAGATAGGAAGGACCGAATAGCACCCAATACTGTTCGTACGTATTTTCGGTATCATTGCACGTCCATATCATTTACGAGTTTGTATAAGTCATAGCAATCATAGTTCCAAGTATTTATAGTTATGAATGAAGAAATCAATTGCGCGCGTGACTGATAGGTTCTGAGTTCGAATTCCATGAGGTGGAATCGTGGATGCACACTGCCACTGAGGAGTTCCACAATAGGACGAAACAGCCGTCCAGTGCTTCTAGGTTTTCCATGGTGGTCTAGCTTTAAATGACTCATGATATCAACTCTATAAAATTACTAAAATCTCCACCAAACCCATTCTGATAATGATCATGTGCTCACTAGTGACTGACTGACTCCATGAGGTATTTCCTGGAGTATCCATTCAATAATTTACAGGTTTTTTTTTAAAAAAAACTTTATTTACAACGTTAAATTCATTATACATATATATTCAATAAGCACCATGTTATATAATCAACTATCGGTTATCCATTACACTGTACTATATTTAGATAGAAACAATAAATTTCAAAACAGTTTCTCTTTTTTTTTCTTTTTTTTTTGTAATTTAGTTGAGTAGACGTAGCACCAACTCAACTTGAAAGGATTTAGATACAATGAAGAGTATGATTCAATAAAATATTGATCTTCAGTTACTATGTATATACCTTAAATGACAAGATGAAAACAAAAAAAAAAGATAATTAGCGGTTTAAATAACTGATGCGTGGACGAGAATGATAATGATTGGTTATTTTGTTGAGTCAGACAATAGATAGGGTAACAGGTGTTATATGTGTTATATATCCCCCTATCCTTATTACTATTATTGTTGATTAACTGTTCTTTGTTGTTGGATTGTGTCGGATTTTGATATGGAAATATATTGACGTTCTAGTCAGGCTAATCTCGTCTTCTTGATCTGAGTTGTGTTGAAGTCCTGTAGAATAGACACTGAAGTGAGGGAATCTAGTGTAGATATTTGTCTAAGGTAAATTAACATCCCACATACGTGTAAAAAGTGAAAGGATTGTTATAACAAGAAACTTTAGCATTATAACAAACATTCTACCGTTTATAACAATAACAATTCTGTCAGTTGATTAGTTATCAGAAGGAGTTTGTGTGTGTGGAGATTTTAGTAATTTTATAGTTAAAACCATAGGTCAATTGAAGCTAGACCACCATGGAAAACCTGGTAATAATCATATGCTCACTAGTGACTGACTTCAAGAGATATTTCCTCAATTTCTAGTGAGAAGCAATGACCAGTGGAGTTTAACCAGGTCTGTTGTGAGATATCAACTCACTGAAGACAATGGTGGACGGTTGTTCAATTTCATTGATTGCTTGAACTTCGACATCGACACCGTTGGATGTCGGTTCAATGGTCTAGAGGTTAAGCTCTGGCTCGCGAGACTGATAGGTCCTGGGTTCGTAGCTCGCGAGGCAGGATCGTGGATGCTCACTGTTGAGGAGTCCCATAATAGGATGAAATGGCCGTCCAATGCTTCCACGTTTTCGATGGTGGTCTAGCTTCAATTGATTCATCATTTCAACTATATAATTGATTAGTTACCAAGCAAATCATACAAAAACTAATCGATTTACATAATGAAATCTCTTTGATGAAACTAGTTCCATTTTTAAAATAAATGAAGGATAGGAGAAGATAGGGAAAAAGTTTAAAAGTTCATTTTATTATATCATAAAATTTACCATTAAATCTATACAGAAAATATATACTCGAGTGGAGTTTTTTTTAAAGCCTGTTTGTTATGACCTTAAAAAAGATGACCGTGTACCAACTAGTTATGATTTTAGGTCCGGCATTTTATCATGTGATTTATCCACCAATCGCAATACGATTTTTCCAATCTTAGCACTGTGCTAACCAATAACTTCGACCGGTATGAGCAGTCTAGCGTCCTTTTTCGTCCGTTGTCCTCCTAGCCCTTCCAATTGAGTCCAGATCATCGATTACAGCTTCTGTTATGCGAATCATTTATTTCAAACATACTTGGTTTATATACCAGACAGACAGACCTTATTACACCATAGAATAGAAAATAATATTTGTACAAGATCAGGCCAAAATGTGACTGTGAACGTGGGAGACTGTAACCAATAAACTGAGTATAATTTAGGATCAATAAGTTGTATAATAATGATCTATAGGTCAACATGAAGCTTACGATAAGATGAATACAGGTACACACAATCTAATTACTGATTAGTTATACAATAGGAATACATATAGATTAATGGCTCATTAATAGGTCCTGGGAGTTATCCGTGCTTATGTCTTCACCAGGATATAACACTCTTATACTCATACAAGAACATTCAATATTTTTTGGTAAAAAAAGATCAGTAATTTTGATGGTTTCTATTTATCAGCGTATGGATATTATTTAATCATTAAGATTGTTTTTATGAATCTAAGTTTTTATAGTTTTTATTTGTGATGGATATATGAATAGTTGAAAGTATGAGTCAATTGAAGTTAGACCACCATTGGAAAACCTTGAAGCACTAGAGGGCCATCCATTTCTAGTGTGGGACTGCTCAGAAGAGCGCATCCACGATCCCGCCCCGTGAGATTCGAACCCAGGACTTATCAGTCTCGCTCTTAAATTCTAGAACACTCAGCCGAGATCCAACGGTGTTAATATCCAACTTCAACTAATCCACGAAATTGAACAACCGTCCACCATTGTCTTCAGTGAGTTGATATCTCACAACAGACCTGGTTAAACTTCACTGGTCATTGCTTCTCACTAGAAATTGAGGAAATACCTCTTGAAGCCAGTCACTAGTGAGAATACGGTGACGGTCAGAAGGGGTTTTGTGAATATTACAGTAATTTTAATAGTTGACATCATGAGTCCCACAATAAGACAAAACAACCGTTCAGTGCTTCCAGGTTTTCCATGGTGGTCTAGCTTCAATTGACTAATGATCTCAACTATTAAAATTGCTATAATATCCACAACAACTCCTTCTAATATTTTAAATTTTACATTATATCAAAGGAATTCAGTTGTTAGTGAATACAAAATAATTTGTTATCAGCTGTTTGGTTTCATTCATGTTTTGTGCTAATCTCAATGTAAATATGGTTATTTAAGCTAAATCATTCGATATTTTATTGTGAATTAACAGTGATGTGTTACTAGTGTCAAAATGGATTTCCTGGAGTTCTAGTGAAAAGCGATGACCAGCGAAGTTCAACTGTATGTGTTGTGAGACGATTACTCATTGAAGACAATAGAGGATAGTCGTGCAATATCGTGGATTCGTTGAAGTAAGACATTAACACCGTCGAATGTCGGATTAGTGGTTTACATGTTAAGTGTTCGCAAGTGAGACCGAAAGTTCCGGGTTTGAGTCCCATGTGCGGGATTTCGGACGTGCACTACTGAGGAGTCCCATACTAGGATGAAACGGTTTTCCAGTGTTTTTAGGTTTTCAGTGGTGGTCTAACATTAATTTGTCCATACTCCTAATCAAGACTGATGTGTTAATTGTATGAATCATAAACATCTGCTTTATTTGGGCATTACAGATTCTTTTGCATATGCGCAAGGCATAACTGACCTTAACCTTAATTAATACTTACTTAGTTAAGCTTGTCACCCTTCGTGGATCACAGGTCATTGACCAGGAATCTCAAACTTAAACTGTTCTGGTCTCTTCTTTCCAGTTTTTGCCAAGTGCTACTCATCCTTTTGATGTCTACTTCCAATTATCAAAGAAAGCTGTCCTTTGATTTGCCTTTTTTCATATTACCTTAAAAATTCCACTCTAGGGCTTGCTTCGTGATTCAGTCTGGCGATTTATGCATGGAGCCCTACTGAGGTTACTGCCCCTGTCAAGCTCGGATAAAGGAGAACGGTTGAACATGAAGTGAGCAACCCGATCCCGTAGAACTAAAGACTTGCTAAAGAAGACGCTAATCATAAAAAAATAATTTGTTATGCTACAAACTAGTGAAATCATGACGAATAAATGATAATTCTCGGTTAATTGCATAATACACCATTCATACATAAAGTGAAATTTTTGTTTAAACATTAGACATACATTATCAGTAAACTACATACTTTATTTCTTTATCTAGGGATTTTCTATTTTCGAATAATATGGTGGTGGGGGAGGTGTTAGTTCAGATAATGCCGGATATGGTGGTGGTTGATCTAAGTTAGGCGCCGACGATAGCACTGCTGCTCCTGTTGGCATTCCATCTTGTGATGAGCTCATTGGATATGGAGCCTGAGACGAACTCATCGGATATGGATTTTGCGATGAACCGGTTGGGTATGGGACTTGTGCAGGAATATTAGTAAAATTTGAAGTTGAAGTTGGCTGAGATCTAGGTAAATGATTTCTCACCGGAGTTGATGTAGTACGTTGCTCTATGAAAACGCAAGTGTAAAAATAATAGAATAAATTAGTCAAATAGAAAATGTGAATTTTTAGGAATATATACATATTGCTAGTCAGGTAAAAGTATATTATACTGACGGCCTTGAACTAACCGATTGGAGGTCAAGTAATGCCATATGCATCTTGGCCAAAACTTGCAATGCTCATCCACGATCCCGCACTCGCGAAATTCGAACCCAGGACCTACCAGTCTCGCGCCAGAGCACTTGACCGATAGATCCAACGGTGTTAATGTCTAACTTCAACCAATACACGATTTTGAGCAGGACGAAACGGTCGTCCAGTGCTTCCAGGTTTTCCATAGTGGTCTAGCTTCTATTGACTCATGATTTCAACTACGAAAATACTAATTTCTCCACAAAACCCGTTCTGACTAAAATTTGAAGGTCAGTGATAGGTAACTTGTATCTTATTATTGGAGAAATCAAAATTGGCAACATTGAGTCCTTGAAATGCTTTAGGTCAAGGGAATTATTTATTATGCAAATAAAAAGTGAATATAAGATGGTGGTAACTACATTACTAAAAATACCTGCTTCTAAGGCGAATTGTGTGTTAAATTACTTTGTGTGATTTCATGCGTAATGAAGAGTGTTTAATGAAACTAGGTAGTATTGCACTACTTTTAACCCTTACTCGAAATCTCTGCACCAAGTTTCTTACGTTTGTAAATAGAAAGATGGCGAGCTGTTGGATTATGACTGATGTAAGTGCATTATGAAAACAACGACCTCCATTTGTAAACCTAAATTAAAACTTCAGCCTAACCTTTTGGCATTATAATTGAGGCTAGTTGACGACGAAAAATCTATGGAGTTATAACTCAAACTCCCTATTATCCCGACTGTTAATATGTAAAGCTCACCATTCCCTTCCCTACAAGAAATCATTTGACTGGTGAAGGTTAATTGTTTAGATGAAAGCCATCATTTTATCTATCTTTGCTGTTAATTGTTTCATAACCAGACAGCATTTCCCAGTCGTCTGTCAGGTCGCTCAAAATTGTCAGTATTGGTATAGATTTACCGTTTATTAATCACGTACTGTTTGTTTCGCTCTCTATCACTAATGTTTTGATTATGTTTATATCACGATTTCTTATTTGATGTCCTTTGTGGTCAGGAATTTGAAGTATATTGTTGTATATGTTTTAAGTCATAATCGATTTAAGTACAATAAGGAACTAATCTGTTTCCTATCCACGTCCTCCGATTGGCTGCTGTGTTTAGAGAGGTCTCGACCGCTAACCAGCGTTAAGGTTTTAAGTGTTGTTTTTTGGTCGGTGTGACATTTGATACTTAGTAGGTAAATGGTCCTACTGGTAATACAAGTGAACTAATCAATAAATGAGGTTCTGATTGGGCAATACAGTACATGATATTAATTAACGTTCTTAAGATGTAACCGACACTCTATATATTCGAGAAATACATATTGCTTCAAACTAAAGCTGATTGCTCTATTCTTGAAAATAATAACTATACTTTATGGCATTTTATAAAAAACCTCACAATTTTGAAATAATTCTAAACCTTACAAGCAAAGATGGATAGTAGCTAGCAGTGGAGTTCAGGACGTGAGTTTCGTCCTGTTTAGGACTTTTCAGCTGGGTGTACCTACACCCTAGAATCGATGTTCAATCCGGGGGATTGAAACGCAGTACCGTTCGCTTCAGATTTTATCGTGTTATCCACTTAACTACTAAGTCCTGATAGCCACGTGCTTGTGCAATGGAGTGAAGTGTAAATTCACTTGGTATTGTTTACTTGAATCTTCCCATTGGCATTTAGGACTGCAATTGATCAGTTTTTTCTTATTGACATATGTGCATACTGTGCGTATCCATCTTTGCTTATAATGCTTGTGAATTAGAGCAATGTTGAGGCAATGTGCACGGTATGCACATATACCAATAAGAAACTGATCAGTTGCAGTCCTAAACATGAATGAGAAGATCCAAGTAAACAATACCAAGTGAATCTGAATCTAAACCATGTTCATAGAATTACTATTATAGAAAAATGTATATTATGTGAAATTAAATCACCCAGTTATTTTTTGGATTTTTCATTTAAATATAAATAGTACTTTTATAAATGAATTCATGAGTCAGCTGAAGCTAGACCACCATGTAAACCTGAAAGTACTGGACGACCGTTTCGTTCTGGTATGGGACTCCTCAACAGTGCACATCCACGACCCCGCACTCGCGAGATTCGAACCCAGGACCTATCGGTCCCTCGCGCAAACGCTTACTTTAAATAGTAATCAAATTGGATTTAAAAAAAGGAAACGGAAGTAATGTTGAGCGAAAACCATACTTCATATTAGTTACACAACTGATGAGATTATCAGAATCATAAAAACGTGATAGTACATATAAGTCATACGGTTATGGTGTGACCAATTAGCTAAGGTCAAAGTCACATCCCATAGTTAGTACCTAACATGAATCATTCCATCATCGTATCAAGGTACTATTGTAGTGAACAAAACACCGATTGGGGACAATTGAATGTATTTGACAAACATTACAGACTACCTCAGTGAATTCTGATTACCAAACAATGAACAGTCAATTTGCAAATTAACAACCAATTGTTTCAATCTTCACTGTTTCTTCTCTTACTCCATTGCTCATGCATTTTCCAGACGATTGCGCTTCATTTCAGTTCTTTCCTCATCGGTCTTCTGCCGCAATACATTCTATGTCTGACCCACACCATATACTACTTATATGGATATAAGTAGATCACACCACACTATCTCTGTTTTATTTACCATACAACACAAACAACGTTACCACAAAAGTATATTGGTAAACGTAGGAACGCTTGACCTGTAGACTCTATTGAGCCGGCATCTGACGGTGGAAATATCTAACTTTAACTAACCCACGAAATCGTGTCACCATCCACCATTGTCTTCAGTGAGTTACTATCTCACTAGAACTCCAGGAAATACCTCTTGGAGCCAGTCACTAATGGATGGTTTCTAAAATCCCTTCTGATAAATGATACTGTCTGTTCAAAGACTATCAACGAAAGACCATTATGACGTCAAAAAATGAAATTGAATTGTTAGTGCACAGAATTTATGGAGATTGTTATGTTCCATAGTTTACGTCAAGAAATGACCTTAATTATACGATCACTAAAGACCGTGAAGTATTAGACGGTCATTTGTTTTAGTATGAGACTACTCAATAGCAATGTACATCCATAACCCTATTACAGGGAACCAAAACCAGGACCTTCATATGAATGCCCAATCATTTGACCATTAAGTCACCATACAATGATCCACATTGTTACATCTCAGTAGATTTGAATCATGTATCATAAAGTTATGTAACTGATTATACTACCTAAGTTCATTGTTCATTCACCCGGTAATTAACATCTTTCCAAAAACTGAATTGGATCAATATCAGCATTAATTAATCTCTAGTAATCTTCAAATATCCATTAACTGTTATTACTGTATTAATCTTATTGTCTTATGTATGCTTTCCATTTAATCTTTTGTGCTAATAATCAGGTGAATAAGAATGAAAGTACATTATAAATTTACATTTAATGTACCTTTGCAGAAACAAGTTTATTGATTTTTCGATTGATTTTCACAAAGTGAAAACCAATTTTATATAGTTGAGATCATGAGTCAATTGAAGCTAGACGAACATGGAAAACCTGAAAGGACTGAACGGCCGTTTCGTCTTATTATGGGACTCCTCTGTGGCAGTGCGCATCCACGATCCCGCACTCGCGAGATTCGAACCCAGGACATACCACTCTCGCTCCCAGAGCACTTAACCGATAGACCACTAAACTGGCATCCAACGGTGTTAATGTCTGATTTAAACCGATCCACGAAATTTCGATGGTGGTCTAGCTTCAATTGACTCATGATCTCAACTCTATAAAATTACTAAAATCTCCACTAAACCCCTTCTGCAAAACCAATTGTCAAAACAGATTTCATAGTTAAACTGATAAGTCGATGTAAGCTAATCCTTGCATTAATAACCTGGAAGAACTGAACGACCGTTCTGTCCTAGTATGAGACTCTCTAGTAATGCTCATTCACGACCCCGCATGCTGGATTCAAACCCAAGACCTTTGGTCTCGCTCTCAAATGATTCATATGTAGACCATTGATTTAACATCCAATGGTGTTACTGTCTAATACTGTCTAATCAACATAAGTTACCTAACTGAGGAACAGTTTGTGTTTTGAAATGAATTAATTGGTCAGAGGGAGAGGTGTAGAATTAACCAAACAGTTTTATTTCAGCATGATTATATGAATTTCTATTTTTAAGTTTACCGTAATGGGTTCGTAAAAAGTTATTAATTGTCAGATTTTATTTTATGGACTGGTATCTATTCAAAACCCCTGAAGTAATAATAATCATGTAGTTACTAATGGTTAAGTTTGAGAGATAATTCTTGACTCTTAATTAGAAGCAGTGACTGATGGAGTTCAACCGTAGCAAAAATATGACAATTATATACTAATCAGATCAGAAAATAGCTGTACTATATCGCAAATTGATTGTAGTTAAACATGTGGACCATTGGATACCAGTTAAGGTATCTTAAATCAGTTGTATAAAATGTTAGCTATAGCTTAGATAATTTTGTGACGATTTCTCCTACCACTACATTTTCTACCTCCCACCCACCCAGTGATAGTAATTCACATCTATGATCTTGAGTAAGATTTAAAATATATTTATGACCTTGAGCCACATTTTACCTAATCAGAATGTAGGTAATATAAATGAATTTATTACAGAAAACACAAAAGATTTAACGGTATTAAAATCAACTCATATACGATAAAGAGAATTGCATACATAACTACAGTTCATTTTAATACTAATGCGCACTGGTGAAGAGTCCCACAATACGACAAAACGGCCGTCCAGTGCTTCCAGGTTTTTTCCCTGGTGGTTTAGTTTTAATTGACTAACGCTTTCAACTATGTTAATACTAAATACTATGTAAAATAGATGATAATTATTTAGTCGTGATTACATTATCTCCAGCATTACTGGATATGGACATTAGTAGGATTGACGAAATAACTCTTACGAACGATGATCAATTATGTATAATTTATACTCTCTTCAATCATTTGCATAAATGGTTATCAGTAATTACATTTAACATATATAAATGAGTAATATCTCTGTACTGATTAAATCATTATGTACTGGTAACATTTCTAGATCCTCATAAACAGCTTTGATTACGTCTTAAATCAAATCAAGTACATTCAACGTGTAACAAGCATTCCAAATATACAACATGCGTCAGTAGCAAGTGTTTCTTGTAATTTGGCTTTTACATTAAAATTGTATCTCTTGTGTACGTTCACAACTGAAGTGTTTATCAATTTCAAACATCTTACTAAGCTACAAATTATCTATCATATCTTGAATTCTATATAGTTAAGATCATGAGTCAGTTGAAGCTAGATCACCATGGAAAACCTGGAAACACTGGACGGCCGTTTCGTCCTATTGTGGGACTCATCTGTGGCAGTGCTCATCCACGATCCCACCTCTCGAGATTCAAACCCAGTACCTACCAGTCTCGCCCCCATATCACTTAACCGATAGACCACTGAGCCTGCCGGCATCCAACGATGTTAATGTCTAACTTTAACCAATCCATGAAATTGCGCGACCAACTTCTATTTTGCTAAAATAGATACCTGTCTCTACCTGACATGGATTATCTTGAATTCAACCGCTGATATTCAACATAGATTTAAAACGTAGTTAATATTTTAAAAAAAGAAGACGACGAAATCATAACTCAAAACTTACTAGTACGTCTTCTTGAACGTAGACAATAGAAAGCTGCCAGTCCCAATGCAATAAATAATAATATCAATGGTAGACATACAATCAATGCAATTATTTTTGACCCCATATAACATTCAATATAAATGATAATTATACAATAATACTGATTCCCGTTATTATTATTCAAATGATATTGATGTTGTCAAGTATATACAGTAGATCTTTATTATTATTAATTCAAATTATTCTAAATACATATTAGAGAGAGAGAAAGAGAGTTCATGAATATGTGTACGTGTGAATGTATGAGTGTGTGTGTGTGTGTGTGCAATGAAAAGATAAGCTTTTAATTTAATATATACACATGTGCCAATATTTTAATTGGATACATCCACCCTTTTCATATATATATATATATATATATATATATATATATATATATATATATATATATACGCAACTACTCACTGTGACACAGCAACTAATTCTTATAATCACTATGACTAAAAGTATTACCATTATTTTTTTTTGTTTTTTTTTTGTGCGTTACTAAGGCACATTTTACTAGAATTACATATATAAATACAAACAAAACACGTGAATGAATGCATACATCATTACTATAATCATATAAGTAATATCAACTTAATTATCATCTGATAGGGTAGTTTATAAAGTAAAGAAAAAATAAAAACAAAAACAGAACAAAAAAAAAACTTGTTTATTAAAATCTTCGTTTCTTTTCTTTCTTTGTTTGTTTACCAGATATAATATTGATTATCTATCGATATAGGTGTATCTATGAGAAGGTTAAGAATATTGATTAAGTTAATTGTTTTTTTACTTATCTATTTATGTGTCATTCATTGATTCATCTTTGTGTCTTCTCTTTTGATTGTACAAGTTATAACCGACAAAATTTGTTTACGAAATTAGAAGGGGGGTTATAGATATTTTTTTATATAGTTGAAGCTAGACCACCAGTGACCAGTGGAGTTCAATCGGATCTGTTGTGAGATAGTAACGCGATGGCGTTTCAAGCGAAAGGTACTGGGTTCAAGTTTCAGAGTGAATAACAACAAGTCTGAAATGCAGGTACATCCAGTTGACGAGTCCCAAATAGAACAACGAAACGCGCGTCAAACTGGATTCCACTGCTAGTCATTATCCATCTTTGCTTATAATGCTTGTGAATTAAGGCAATATCGAGGTAATACGCATAGTCTGCACATATACCAATAAGAGACTGATCTATTTATGTATAATTCATGTATTCATCCTTGTATCTTCTCTTTTGATTGTACAAATTGTAACCGAAAAAATTCGTTTACGAAAATGTTAGGAAGAAGTTTAAAGAGTTCATAGTATCATTATTAGAGTGGGGGGGTTTGTAGAGATTTTAGTAATTTTTTTATATAGTTGAAATGATGAGTTAATTGAAGCTAGACAACCAATGACCAGTGGAGTTTAATTAGGTCTGTTGTGAGATATCAATTCACTGAAGATATTGGTGAATGGTTGTTCAATTTCGTGGATTGGTTGAAGTTATACATTAACACCGTTGGATGCCGGCAGGCTCAGTGGTCTAGTGGCTAAGCGCTCGCACATGAGACTGATAGGTCCTGGGTTCGAATCTCGCGAGGTGGGATAGTGGATGTATATGCTGAGGGGTCCCACAATAAGACGGAACGGCCGTACAGTGCTTCCAGGTTTTCCATGATTCTAACCACATAAAAAGGTTTACACCATCATTTAAACTAGACAAATGTCGTTTCTGGTGAATAATACGTTATCATCAGAATGAGGGTTTATGAAGATTGTAGTCATTTTGATAGTTGAATTCATAAATTGATCTAAGCTAGACTATCATTGAAAACTTAGAATAACTAGGCAACCATTTCGTTCTAGTATGAGACTCCTCAACAGTGTACATCCTCGATCTTGAGTGACGGACTCCAACCCAGAACCTTCTGCCTTACGGGATGAGGGATCGTGGATGTACAGTGCTGAGGAGTCTCATACTAGAACGAAAAAGCCGTCTAGTGCTTCCAGATTTTCAATAGTGGTCTAGCCTAGATCAACTCATGAATTCAACTATTAAGATAACACATTAAACGATAGAATCTTGATATTGGTTTAGAGGACTTTGAAAATAATTGAAGCATTTGGTGGGTTTTATTTTTAATATTTAAAAAAATATTGTAGCATTTCGAAACTTTCTATTATACTGTAGAGTAAAAAGAAAACCTACTTAGACTGAATACTATGAGAAAGCTATTACCATTTTATAATGATCATTTTTACAAAATGTATCACAACTGATTGATCACTGAGTGGTGATCAATGTCATTCGTGTCAAGTCCTTCTTAGTCCTGATCGAATGCTATCGATCAAGTTGCAATGTAGCCATCAGTCTAGGTGGCTTGACACTATGTGAACTATGTTGAGATAAGATGGTGGCAACTATAGGAGGTCGATCGCGGCCCCGAATAGCTTAGTGGTAACGTCTCTGACTGTGAAGCTGAGTGACACGGGATTTAATCGGTCAGGGCGCATCAGTTCCCTCAAGATTACAGGTAGACTTTATTGACGAGTGTCAAGTAGCACGAAGCCCGGATCCAGGGTTTCCTTTTGACCAGCTTCAACCACCATCTTATCTCAACAAAACGTTTACATAATAGGTAATTGTTTAGTTAGGATTATTATTTTAGATAAATTAAATTAATCGATAAACATTGTAAATGTGTATAATTTGAATTGTTTACAACTTGTCCCTAAGATCATATTTATCTCTAAGTGACCACAATAAGATGAAATGTACTAATTTTCCTTATTAAATTATCCATTTTAAACACCGTTAGCAACAAGTGAATAAAATAAAAAAACGGTAAATGGAAATCGATATTTCAGGGTTGATCATGTAAAATTTCTCATCTGATATACAATTTCTTTATTTGTTTTATTGATCAGTTTTTTTTTCTTTTTCATTTATTGAGCCAATCAAGATTAAGTTTGTTTGTTTTTTACCATTCTAGACAGGCTGAAGTTAGACATTAACACCGTTGGATGCCGGTAGGCTTAGTGATCTAATGGTTAAGTGATCGCGCATGGGACTGATAGGTTCTGGGTTTGAATCTCGTGAGGCGGGTTCGTGGATACGCACTGCTGAGGAGTCCCACAATAGGACAAAACCGCCGTCCAGTGATTCCAGGTTTCCTATGGTGGTCTAGCTTCAATGGAATCATGATTTCAACAAAATAAAATATATTTTTTGAAGTATAATCATTTTAATCAGGAAACGACTGTAGGGATTCATTAATCAGAAAGGGAGTTTTGTGGAGATTGTAGTAATTTAATGTTTAAATTCATGGGTCGATTAAAGCTAGACCATCATGGAAAACTTGAGAACACTAGATAGTCATTTCGTCTGTTGTGAAGCAGTAACTCACTGAACGCAATGGTAGACGGTGACGCGATTTCGTGGATTGGTTGAAGTTAGAAATTAAAACGTGAATGACGGCTCGATGGTCTAAAGGAAAAGCAGTCGTGCCCGAGATAAATAGGTCCTTGGTTCGAATCCCGGGTTCGTGATTTTGAATGCGCACTGATGGGTAGTCCCGTACTAGGAGGAAACGATCATCAAGTGCTTCCAAGTATTCCACGGTCTAGCTTTAATTGATTCATAATTTCAAGTATTGAATTCATTAACCAGATAATATCTAATATTCTTGAGTCTTAGAAAAGCGAATGTTATTGAAGAAGCTCTGGTTACAAACGACTGATTCAAATTATTGTTCTATTCATTTTATGAGTATCCGACCTCAAGTGCAATACAAATATACAAAAATCTTTTATCCAAAAATACCTCTTAAGGCAGATGATGTTATATTAACAACGACTGAGTTAAGGATAACAAAAAGCCAATTTACCTCAAGAAATAGTTAGCACATTTAGGAAGATGGTGGAATTTTCTCAAACAAACTGAAAATGTTTTTTCTTTATGGTTGAAATCATGAGTCAATTGAAGCTAGACCACCATAGAAAACCGTTTCATCCTATTATGGGACTCCTCAGCAGCGCGCATCCTTGATCCCACACTCACGAGATTTGAACCCAGGACCTACCAGTCTCTGAAAATGTACAATTGTTGAGAATCTAAAGATGAGTTCAGTAATATGCAATTTGGCTACTACATTACTTCTTGTTATTCACATGTTATTTTTGTATTGGTACAATCAAGGTGATGGAATAAGAAGTAGAAATTGGACTAGATTGAAGAACCAACTACTTAGCTTGGTAGACATGCTAACTATGACAAGTGAGATATTAACAAAATTGACGCTTTCTACAAATATATACACCTTAGAAAGTGTATTCTAATGTCTATTACAATGACAGTGAATTGGTTAGTTTTGATAAGTATATTTGGTAAGTTTGATCAGTCAGATAGAGGTCAAAAGACAGGCGGATAACATTAGGCAAGATTTGATTTCATTTTCTAAAGAAAAGCACATCATTGGTTGATAATGTGGTTTTATTTTCTCACGGAGATATTTTAGATCTGGTTTTAGTCAATAAAGCTTTCTTTACAATTTCAGTCTCCTGGCTCGGGTAGCTGGTCTGCTCTTTCTAGGTTCAAGGTGTTTTTACAGGACTTTAAGAACCCTATACCTTCAATCAATCTTGATGGTGGGTAATTAGATCTAGTTGAGAAGTTCGTTTATCTGCTAAAGTTGGCGTGAGTGATGGGTTCAGTTATTACATGGTGAGTGGCTTATGCTAATCTGTGTCATCGTGATGTTAGTCTGGCTGTAAAAGATCGGGTTTAGAAAATATCGAGGAGAACAGTTTTTCTCTACATTTGTGAAATCCGGTCTCTCCGAGTCGATGATGTTAAGCATCCGTCCATGTTTGATCGTCATTCTTTCCGAATGATTGTTGACACTTAGTGGCAAAACTATGTTGGTAATACGGAGGTTCAGCAATCCATGTGCTCGCGTACAGTGACAATAATTCGATTAATATCACCATTTTGTAACACTGACTTCGATTATTTGGACATTCCCTACAAATGTCGAGCCGGTGAATCCCACATTGTTCATTATTTTCAGACTCTGAGATCGGGTGTAAAAAGTGGAAAGGTGGTCAGTTGATAACATCAACACTGTGGTAAGAAAGAAAGCTGCACAGAACTCGTATTCGTTGGTCTTTCATAACTTCCTGGTTTAGGTTTTAGAGATAGCGTAACTTAATGGATTCAAACGCTATCAGATATGTCTCAGAATAGAAGACAGTGTGGCGATCCAGGTGTAGTATTCCTTTACTTTCAGCTTTAACTGAAAAGAGTTCTTTCTGGTTGTATTCATTCTTAACTTAATCGTTTCTCTCACCATTTCCCACTTTCACTCACCTGTTTTTTCCTATTTTACTTACCTTCCTTCCCTTATCTCTTTACAAACTCTTTTTTTTTTATTTTACGACAGTTATTTACTTTGATGTTTCCTTTTACAAGTGTGTGTTTGTTTAAATAAATAAATACAAATAAGTAGTCTGATTCCATGAATAGGATGTTTGTGTTATTAATATGTGGTGTGTGCTACTTATTTCGACAAATATAAGTAGTATGTAACACCAGTCGAAAGTGTAATGACTGACAGCAGAAGGTTGAGAAGAGTGTGACGTTCACACAATGAATACACATTTTTGGTTTGATTACTGGTAACATATAAATATTTCTGATATGATGAGTGAGGACTTAATTGATTAGAGTACGATAGACATACAATATTGATTTTCATTTCCCAACCGTCTATGATAGTTAATTACATTTTTAGGATAATAAGTAGTGAATTCCTGTTGGGGGGTGTTAGATTCCTGAAATGCGAATTTCTTGTTTTCTCACCGAAAGCGCTCATTTTCACCTTCGTGTAGTGCTTCCCTCTTGGGAGAACCTTAAATGTCATTGGTTCGTTGTCTCTTTTATTATGCTGTTTTGTAACGTTTCCTAAGAACATCTTTACGCTGTATATATACTCTTCAGTTTTGCTTGATGTTGTTCATGTTTTTGGCTGCTTGCGGAATACATTTCCCTCTTCTGAACATGAACATCTCTCTCTAGTCAGCGGGGCTGAGACGCATCGGAATAGTTAGTTAGCTTATTTGGTCATTGTGTCACTGAGTCTTCGTTCCGTTGGCAGATTAGGTGAACTCGTAATCTTTTTAACATAACAATTCCATAATATTGTATTTCAACGTTTATTCAGCAAAACTACTACCTAATCAACGTAAACCTTTAATATATAAAAATTTGGGTACTAATCAGCGTAAATCCTTATCTATCGTCTCCATGTTCTTACTTTTGTTGTCTTATTGATTGTTCTTTTGTTGAAGTACCATGATATATTCTCAGTTACAACATGTTTATAGACGATCTTTCGTATTCTTACTTTGTGCCGGTGGGAATTGTAGCAATTCACAATTCCATAAACTAGCCATAAGATTGAGGAGGCAAAACAACTACATAGCAGTTTCATACTTAAATAAATACTGAGTGGATTTAAACTTCACCCCACTGCAGAAGCAAGTGGCTATCAGCACTCAGTGTCCGAGTGGATAACGCGATGGCGTTTGAAGCGAAAGGTACTGGGTTCGAGTCCCAAAGTGAACATCAACGAGTCTGAAATGCAGGTACATCCAGTTGACGAGTCCCAAATAGAACAACGAAACGCTTGTCAAAGTGGATTCCACTGTTAGCCACTATCCATCTTTGCTTACTATGCTTGTGAATTAACGCAATATCGAGGTAATACGCACAGTATGTACATATGCCAATTAGAGACTGACCAGTTGCAGTCTTAACACATCAAAGGGAAGATTTAAACAAACAATACTAAGTGGATTTAAATGAGTTAGTTTTACTGAGATAATCGTTATGTCGGTTATGTTTTATACCTGGTTTCTAATCATGAAAGGAACTTCTCACAATGAAACTTATGTTTTGGGAAGGCTAATAAAGATGAAATTTGATTTCGTAGAATCTTAATAAATTAAAAATGAGTACTCAATATCACCTGAAACCAAATAAGTATATTCACAAGACTTTTATTACTAATTACATATGTTAATTAAGTAAAATGGATTGGTTTATGATAAACTGGATCAATTAGATATAAGTCAGGTGACAGATGAAAGATTAGCGGCCTACTTGAACATCTGGGCAGCCTGTTTCTGCCCCCTAGATATTTCATCCCACTAGCGAGATCGTGGATGCGCATTGCTGGAGAATCACATAATAGGATGAAACGATCGTTTAATGCTTCCAGGTTTTCAATGGTGGTTTAACATCAAACGATTCATGATCTCAATCAAAAACTTCATAATCTCCTCAACCTAATACTGTATCTATATTTACGAATGACTTGTGGTTGTATTGTTTACTTACTCAATTAGTTGATTCGGCTTTCATATAAGTAGTTTGTATATGGGTAGTAGACCTTGGACAACTGTATAACACAGCAGTATATTCAGTCAAAGGAAACATCATAATATTAGATGAAGATACAATGAAACTAACATGTCGTCCATCTAAATCAAATAACTTTAACCCATTTTCTGTCTAAATAAGTGTTATAACCCGAAGAGAATAATGAATGGTAACTTCTGAGAACTATCTATGGACCAATATGAAATGTATATTTCCTATTGTATAATCGTTAAGTAACTCAACTATTCATATTCGTATCCCTCTTATTATAAGCTTCATTTTGACCCATAGACTACTACTGTATGATTTACCATTCTTGAGTTGTCCACAGACCATCGATTACTGTTCTCCCTATTCACAGCCACATTTGAGTGAATCTTGTACAAATGTAATTTTCTATTTCATGATACGATGTGGTCTGTCTGTTTGGTATGCAAACTCAGTATGTTTGAGAATAATGATTCATATTGTAGGGGCTGTTATTGGTGTTCTGGACTTAACTGGCTAGGCTAGGCAGAAAGCAGGACTGATAAGTACTCTAGACTGCTCATACGGCTTTTGTGTATCATTAATCCGATCAATAAGTTCACCGCTCTGTAATAGGCAGCCACATTCGATATAACAATAAGTAACTCACAAGGTGACTAAATAAGTAACAACTGTTTTACATTATTATTATTATTTCGATTAGAATACTAGACTAGTGCAAGACAGAGTGTAGAAGCAGTGGTAGTAGTAGTAGTAGTAGTAGTAGTAGTAGTAGTAGTAGTAGTAGTAGTAGTAGTAGTAGTAGTAGTAGTAGTAGTAGTATTAGTATTAGTATTAGTAGTAGTAGTAGTAGTAGTAGTAGTAGTAGTAGTAGTAGTAGTAGTAGTAGTAGTAGTAGTAGTAGTAGTAGTAGTAGTAGTAGTAGTAGTAGTAGTAGTAGTAGTAGTAGTAGTAGTAGTAGTAGTAGTAGTAGTAGTAGTAGTAGTAGTAGTAGTAGTAGTAGTAGTAGTAGTAGTAGTAGTAGTAGTAGTAGTAGTAGTAGTAGTAGTAGGATGAGGAGGAGGAGGTGAAGGTGAAGGGGACGGGAAGGGAGAGGATGGGTTACATTTATGAAAGACGTCTGATTAGTTACAAAGTCTGTAACTTAAGTAATGAATAGAGACAATATAAATTGTAGAAGTTTGAAACAGTATATCGGTAGAGCGTAAGAAAGAAGAAAAAGAAACAAAATGTATATGAACATTGAGCTGCATAACTTTGTTCTTTATCAGAATAGTACGATAGTTACAATGATGAAATCAATAATTAAAATATTTAATGTTCATTCTATCAAAATAGATTTCAAACATCTCTAATAAGAAATATAAACAAATCTGTTGATTGATAATGATGTGTATACGATGATAAATTGCAGAAAGATGATCCGCAAATTGTCATCATTCCTAAAAAATTAAAGCATGTTTATTATACTACTAATAAGTAGATGAAATTACTGTAATAAACAAATGAGTCCGTTAAAGCTAGACCACCATGGAAAACCTGGAAGCACTGGACGGCCGTTTCTTCCCATTATGAGACTCCTCAGCAGTGCGCATCCACAATCTCGCAATCGCGAGATTCGAACCCAGGATCTACCAGTCTCGTGTCAGAGCACTTAACTACTAGACCACTGAGACTGCCAGCATCCAACGGTGTTAATGTCTAACTTTAACCAATCCACAAAGTCCTATAATAAGACGAAACGGCCGTCCAGTGTTTTCAAGTTTTCCATGGTTGTCTAGCTTCAATTGACTCATGATTTCAACTATGAAAAATACTGAGAACTCCACAAAACCCCTTATGAAAAAAAATATGACTTTGAATAGAATCATCAATGTCAGTTAAAGGGAAATGCTTTTAAAGATAGTAAACTTTCACTATCAAACTCAAGACTGTTATTTTTTAAAATAATCTATTGATAATGACAGTCGCCAATAGTTGACAGCTCTACTTGTTCATTTGTAAACAATATCCAACCTTGATCGATAGGATTCGATCTGCATTAAGAAGGACTTGACACACATGACATTGATCACTATACAGTGATCAACCGATTGTAAATACATATCAGTCCTACAGGAGGTCATTCACGACCTGTATAGCTGAATGGTAACGTCTCTGACTGTAAAGCTGGGTGACATGGAATCGAATCTGTCAGGGAGCATCAGTTCCCTCAAGATCACAGGTAAACCTTGCCGACGAGTGCCAAGTAGCACGAAACCTAGGTTCAGGGTTTCCTGTGGACTACCTCCAACCGCCATCTTATGTAAAACATTATACAGGTCAGCTAAACATCAATGAGATCGAAAGAATGGTATAAAATAACATTAATTGGTTGAAATGAAAAATGGTAACTCGGTGATATAAAAGTTAGGTTTTTCTGTAAGATTTGAATGTTCTGAGTTCTATCCTCTATGGTAGGTTCATGGACATGTGCTGCTGCTGATCCCTCATTGTCAGTAGGATCAAACAACTGTACAGTACTTACCAGTTTTCTATAATTATCCGATTAAGACATCTGTCAAATCTCTTCTCAATTAAATACACGATATCGATCTGAGGTATTTTTTGCTAATAATTATTATTACTTCAATTTGTAAACAAAATATGTATTGATTTGTTTGTTTCTTATAGGTTCCTTATCTTGTTTCATTTAGTTTACTTTAACGTGTTAGCTCCGTTCTTCAAGGGCCCTTACCGTCGGAGACGGAAATCCGTGGGATAAGTCAAGGTGTGCATTCTTAGGGTCGACATTTTTAACCCCACCACTCCTTGTGGGAAGGCAGCATCGCTGTTATGCTGGTTGTCTGAAGGAAACACCTTACTGCCGTCACATCTTTGTACAGTCGGCAGTACGACTTCACCTTCGACCTTTGGGATTGCTGCTTTTAGTCTTACCGCTCTTCAACCGACCTGTCTGGTATGGTATGACCTTAAGGAACGATTGTTCCAGCCAGTATAGCTCGATTGGTTCATCACAATAGGTAAGCATGACCATCACGTCAAGGTAGCAGTAACAGTCGGTCCTAATGCAGTTGTTAGGAAACGGATACTAGGTAAGGATGGCAAATGAAGTAGTGAGACTTCATCAGTTGAGATGGCAGGGACACGTGTTATGTATGCCCAACCACCGACTGCCTCGACGTGTAATGTTTTATAGTGTTGGAGTAGGTTGAAAGAAAGCTAGGGGCCGCCAGACCAAAACATAGCAAAAATCCATGAAGTCACTGACATTTGGAATGAGCCATGTTGGTAGGTGTAGATTACCTGGTTGAGATTCTCGAGATGATAGCAATCGATGGTTAGAGACCTTGGATGACATGGCTCAAAATCGTTTACATTGGCGAAGGTGCACCCACTCTTTTCGTTCTCCCAATTTCTAATCTTCTGAATTCTTCTTGTCTCTATCTTTCTTTCTCTTTCCAAATTTATTTCATTGGATCATACTCCTTGAATAACATCTTCAAACCCTAATCTTTCGTATGCTCAATTTATTCAAAATTATCAAATCAAAACTTGGTAATGATACCTACCTAATCTTTCGGTTTACTGCTTATAATCTTACTACGTCTACCACTATGGGATTCGAATCGACAACTACATCTCTGTGTTAATGTGATATGACAACTCGAATTGATGTACGTACATACGAAGTCCTACGTTGCGACTGACTGACTGACTTTATCGTGGCCACTAACGCAAATTCTCCTTTTATAATTAATGTAATATGATAAATAAATCATTTGACAAAACATTGTTGTGTTTAGACTTCTTTGCTACATGCCGTGAATCTTCGTTTTTCATCTATTTAACTTAAAGATGTGACACATACTCGGTTTCAGGTTTGTACTCCAAATCACTATGTTTGTATGTAAAAATCAAAAGTGAACCACCTTTCTGGTTCTTCACTGTATTGGGCATATGAAAACAGTCCACAAGCAACCTTGCTTTATTCATATTTCATGCTCGTTGGTATTCATTAACAAGATGCTCCAGTATTATTAAGGAAACTGATGCTTTCCACATCATTCAGCTTTACAGTTTGAGCTACTTGAATCACGACATATTTTTTATACGTCTGGGGTTTCTTACCGATCAACTCCAATCGCTTAACACCTCAACGTATTTCATATGACGTTAAATCACTTAGGGTAATAATTATGTTGGAACTTGGTTGATCAACTTAACGTATGTTCCGTACTCGAACAAAACAGTCCAATTAGGGTTAACCAATGACGTAAACTATGACATTTAAGAATAAGTAATCTCTTTCGGTTGTCCATATCATAGTTCAAAGAATTCAAGGTGATGACTAAGAAAAATTATCATTATTCAAATCACGAAGTGATATAAGTTAGATAACCATGAAGACGTGGATGCACTGGATGGCCGTTTTGTTTAGTATGGGACTCCTTAACAGCGCGCACCCACGATCACACACAATTCAGGGATCGAACTCGGGACCTTCGGTCGTCCAAGAGGACATTTAACCTCCAGATTGATGAGGCAGCATCTAATAGTAGTAATGTTTGACTTTAATCAATTCCGGTTAAGTGATCTCGAGGTTGCATTCTCTCGTAAGCTCGAATGCATTGGATTAGATTCCCACATCCAGGATAATGGATGTGCACTGATAAGGTATCTCAAACTAGAACAAAACGGCCATCCAGTACTTTCAAGTTTTTAACATTGGTCTAGTCAAGATCACTTTGCAATTTAAACTTTAAAAAATTCTACAATCAATTATTACTTTGAATGATTTTTTGTTTTGTATTGCAGGTAATGGTGGCTGAGTTGGGCTACGTGAATTTATTGATTTGGCAACATTTCCAGCAATCGGATAAGCTGATGGTGATAATGAAGACGATTGTGGAAGTGTTAAATGTGATGATAGCTTATTTGAACCAAGAGGCATTTGTGTAGTAACTGGATAAGATGGATATTGTTTACTTGGGTTTAGCATATCACCAATTTTGAATTTTGTTTCAGATTCTTGTTTCCCATTAAGTTTCAATTGTTTTCTATGATTTGCAGAATTAGAAGTTGGAGAATTTTCTAAAATGTAGATGAATAGAGATTTAAGAAACCCTAATATAATCATAAAATATAACCTTAACTATTCACCATACACCATTGATTTGACTAATCTGGTTCATTCAAAATTGTGGAAACCTGTGACCTATCACAAGCTTTATAAGTAAATATGAATAGTGGCTAGCATTGGAATCCAGGATGTGAATATCAGGACTCAGTAGCTAATTGATTAACGTGATGGCATTTGAAGCGAATGGTATCGGGTTGGAGTTTCTGAGTGAAATGCAGGTAAACTCATTTGACGAGTCTCAAATAAGACGAAACGCACGTCCTGGATTCCACTGCTGGCCATTATGCATCTTTGCATATTAAGGAACATTAATATCATGGTATTATCAAAGACTTACAATCTATTTTAAAATACTGAAAATAACAAACTGAAACCCTACACTTGTTAATTACATCCATCTGTTTGTTGACTTTTTAGAAGAAGAAAAGAAAGATAAATAGTTTAAAAGTCATATATTCAATCTTTAGTATTGGAGAAAAGAAAATAGTTGTGGCACTTGAAGTTACAGGGAAAGAATATTTCTGGAATAGTCATCATTTGACTGTATATTGAAAAAAAACTTGTGCTGATGAACGACTGTTTCTAAGATATTCTTCTTTACTCAAATAAAATTTATAAAAATGATTGAATTCATGAGTTAATTAAAACTAGAGCACCATAGAAACCTGGAATCACTGGATGGTCGTTTCATCCTAGTATGAGACTCCTCAATAGTGCTCATCTACGATACAACACTTGGGATTTGAACCCAGGACCTATCAGTCTCGCGCGCAAACGCTTAACCTGTAGATCGGTGGGTTAATATACAATGATGTTATCGTCTTACTCCAACCAATCCACGAAATTGCGTCACCATTGTCTTCAGTTAGTTACTATCTCACAACATACCCAGGATCGTGGATACTCACTGCTTAGGAGTCTCATATTAGGATGAATCGGCCATCCAGATTTCCTAGGTTTTCCATGATGGTCTAGGTCTAGGTTCAACTCATGAATTCAACTTTTAAATTACTAACATCTCCACAAAACCCCTCTTCTGGTTATAATAATGGATAGACCTATTATTTTCATTATTATCATTGTTATTATTGTTCTTTAAAGTGAAAAAATGAATTGTAGTCATTCACTATACAATAATGTACCATTTAAATGAAGCGGTCATTCAAGTGTCATTTATTTAATAAAAAAAGACAATTAAATTTCTAGTCCATTAATAACAGTTAAACTTAAAATATAATCAATATATATTTATTTATAGTGTATAGTAACTCATTTTGGATCTTTTGATGACTTTAGGGGGTTAAAAATTAAGCTACTAACTGGTTAGTATCATAGTTGAATGCGTGAGTCAATTGAAGCTAGACCATCATGGAAAACCTGGTAGCACTGGATGACCGTTTCATCCTATTGTGGGGCTCCTCACCAGTGCGCATACGCCACCTCGCCCCCCGAGATTCGAACCCAGTACTTTATCGATTTGTTTGTTAATGTTTTATTATTATTATTGGATATTAATGAAAGCCCATTGTTTGTTACTGGAGATTAACTGTTCGAGATACCCTGAAGCCATTATATATATATGAAGAAGAGTACATAGATTTATAGTAAACTTTTATATGTAATTTCTTAGGCTTCATTTATCAATCACCCTAATGGCCATTTATAAACAAATCCTAACGGTTTATGAATTCAAAAAGCAATAAAAGCGGCGATTACAGTTCATTATTGTATAACACAGATAACCAAGTTAATAAGCATATCAAGTGAATTGGAGCAGAGTGGCTAATATATGTGTCCAAGTGAACACAGAAATAATTTTATAGCCAAATCGAATCAAGTTGAAGCGAAGTAATTCCAAGACAATTAATGAGATTCAAGCATAAACGTTAACACAGACGTAATGGTGGTCATAACAATACAAGGATATAGACAAATTGTTGCTGTTCGAATAACACTGTCTGTTAAATGAGTTAATTGAAGGGCTTGATTAGAATTGACCGTAAGTAAAATTAATTATAGGATGGTTGCTGTAATAATAAAATCTTGATAACTCATGATTTCTTGTCAAGTACTTCCAACTACTTAATACCAAAGCTTATTAACCATGATATCGAGTCACTTAACCTAATGGACATATTATCACATGATCAATAGGATTTGGTCAGGTTTATTCAGTGATTAATCAATCATAGATTTGTGGAGATTGTAATATGTTCAAAGTCGAATTCTCGAGGTGATCTAATCCGTCTCGGATGTGAGACAGTTATTCACCTCAAATAATGGATGAAGTTTTATTCTACCATTTATATATATATACATCTTTAGTTTTATTTATTTATTTATTTAAACACATAAATATTGGTACAAAGGGGAACCAGATACAGTTGGTTTTCTTAGGGGCCACACCCGGAGCCTTTGACCTAAAGATCTGATCCACAAGACAGTGGAGCATCGTATGGAGATGCACTCCCATGGTAGCCGGTGACCAACGATTGATTCATACGCTAATTGTTCCCTTAGAATACTGGAGCCCATGTGCACCATTGGTTTGGAATCAGGGTTTTCCAACTCCCCTAGGTGTATTTTCCGTGTCCACCAACCCGGTTAAAGTGCCGGAAATTTGCCTTTCGTCCTCTCAATTGCATAAACAACACCCCCATTGAGAGAAGGCAGTGAGAAGGACTTCCCTGGCGGAGGTTATAGTTAATTAGTATTTTATAACAAGAACGGCGCCATGGTATTGGTCAAGATTTGGCTCAACTTTCTAAGGAATCTGACAAGCTATTGAATAAAATGTCGTCTGATTTCCTGAAGGAGATATATATGTCAGCGTTGAACGACTGCAGAACTTAACACTTACAATATTGTCAACAATATATTGTTTATACATTTGTATGGGTCGTCTGAATCTTCCCATCAATGTTTAGGACTGAGATTGGTCAGTCTCTTTTAGCAAATGCTCATCCTGTGAGTATTGCCTTTATATAACCATCTAACGCCGTCTAAAAAATGTTCGCAACTTAGTGACTACAACGAGACATTCTGCGTAAGATACATATATGTTACAAAAAATAGACTAATCAATTACAGTTTGAAACGTCATTAGCTAAGTGGATAAATCAATAGCATTTGAGGCTAATTGTGTGGTGTGTGTTACTGATATCCACATAAGTAGTATATAACAATGGTCGGGCATTGAATGTATTTCAGTAGAAGATCAATAACGAAAGAACAGGAACGGTACGCAATTGGTACTAAAATGCATGAACAATTATAATCGGAGACTATGGACGGATATTTGCAGAAGGAACAGTCAAATTGAGACAATTGATTGTTATCTTGTCAATTAACTGTTCACTATATATCGTTCTCATATTTTAATGAGATACTGTGTAATGTTGTGCTATAATACATTCAAATATCCCAACCTGTGTTCTGTTCACTACAATAGTACTGGGTTCGAGTCACCAAGTACATATCTACTGACAGATATAGCAGATATATCCAATTAACAAGCCACAAGCATGACGATTCTATTAATCTTGACACAGTTTTTTAAACATTATGAAGTAAAGAGAAAAAACAGTTTGATTATCTGTTTTACTTACCATCTTGTTTATTCCGTTTCCTTCTGTAATAACAAATAAGTATTAATGCTACAGTTGAGCATATTATTCCAACTATACCCAAAACCAATGGGATAATAAACCCAATACTATATTGAAACGATCTGTTTGAAATGGAAATAGATGTAGAATTGAAGTAATTGAAACGTATGAAACCGTATCGTTACAACATGTTTCAGCTTATATCTTTAAAAATTACTTGTCTGGTAGTTAGTTATATGTTTAGTATGGGTTATGGAGACTGTTGGATTGCATTGAAATCATGAATTGATCAAAGTTAGATCACGCTTAAACATATGGAAGTATCGGATGGGCCATTTTGTCCCAATATGAGACTCAACAGTGCATAACTACTATCTGCATAACTACTATCCCGGACCTTCGATCTCAATTGCGGACAATTAAATTCGAGGCCGCTGAGCCGGAGAAACTGAAGGCCCTGGATTCAAGTCCTTCATGGAATATCGTGGATACGTACGGTTAAGTCCCATATTGGAACAAAATAGCCGTCCAGTGCTTCAAAATTTGTAATTGAGGATCTAGCTTAAATCGATTAATGGTTTCACTGAAATTAGTTTTATGTGAGGCAGCTATGTGAAAAATTCTAGAAGATAGTGAAATCTAAAATGATATTCCTCCGTAGTATACACCCTCATATCAATTCATAATATAATCAAAGATCGTGGATGCGCACAATAAGAAAAAGTAATCTTCCGCTATCATTTTAAGCGATCTGAGCAGTAGATGTTAAACAAAAGTGTTTCCGCCGCTCGTTATATATAATATTTGAATGACCGAGACCAAAGTCCCTGGGTTAGAACTTCGCGAGCAGTGCGCATTTACAATCCCGCCACGCAAGATTCGAGAACGAGACGACCGTCCAGTGCCTCCAGGTTTTCCATGGTGCTCTAACTTTAATTGACTCATGATCTCAACTATATAAAATCACCAAAATCTCCACAAACCCCCCTTCTGATAATAATCAAAGAATCTTAAAATCTTTTTTTGACAATAATTCTACCGTCCATTTATCCTATGATAATCAAATAAGAAAAACGAAAAAACAACTTGACAGCGAAGCAAATTCAAATCGTTATTTTATTACTCAACATAATTCAATCATACCATACTAAAGTGTACTGAATTCATTATCTAATCAATTCGAGATCACGGTATCTATTCAGTTTTTCAATGACTTTAAGACGGTTGTTTAGTTGTATCGCTAGTTATATTCAAATATATACAGTAAGTAAGTTTAACTTTATTTTCAACAATATATAACAAACGAAACACTAAATAATTTCATTTACGGTCATTATATAGATAGATAGATAAGCTGATATATAGGTAGATAGAAAGATGTTTGGACGA